GGACAGTACGACTTTACCCCCAGACCGCCCCGTACCACGATTACTCGTAGTACGGGGTCTCGCTGCTCTTGGTCTGGCTGCTACCCTTTGGCCTTCCTGGCATGGTTGTACCTTGTGGAACGAAGTTCCAGTCAGTGTAGCCCGCGGGATCATTGCATCACTCAAGCCCGACCACCACGTCAAGGTGGCAGCTTTAGGTCGGGAGTACTTGAGTAAACAAGCTCAAAATGACGTGAAAGGAATCAAGGGCTGCAACGTTTCACAGAATGTACACACTGTAAATGGGTGATTTTACAAAGGAGCGCGTCACGCTTCGAACACAAAACCTGGGTTCGAGAGAGCTGGGTGGTTAAGGCACGAAGGTCCCGGGCTCGAACCCCAACCGCGACATCTTCACCAGTCTTGGGTAACGTGGAAGTACATGGACTCCCTTGTTTGCGACATAGCAACTAAGCACCACCGCACTGGTGTTGCAGTTGGACGCTTATTTATTATTAGTTGTACAAACGAGTAAAGATCCGGGGAGAAAGCGACTGATCAGCAAGCGTTTCAAAAATTGGATGCATAGATGAACGGAAAGTTGTAGAGAATATCTTTATAGAAGAGTCACGAACTTAGGAGTTACTCGTCGGTCATTATCAAACAGTCTGAGGCAGGTAACCTAGAAAAAGGGTACCGTTTTGGAATTCATATCGTTTCTGAAATATACCTGGGAAGACTAAGAGGCTGTTTTGAGATAAATGTGGTCAAAAACCGTTTACTCCGGCAGTGAAGCATCAGTGTTGAACACTAATGTCACGGTATCGACGATGATGATTATAGTTACCCTCTCTCTCGATGACTTTCGTGTCAGTGAATGTCATTCCGGTGCCAAGATTCCCGCAGGGGCCGGGCTATCAGCACAAGCGATCCACTACAGCACCACTAATGTCACGGTATCGACGATGATGATTATGGTTACCCCGGCTCTCGATGACTTTCGTGTCAGTGAATGTCATTCCGGTGCCAAGATTCCCGCAGGGGCCGGGCTATCAGCACAAGCGATCCATAAACTACAGCACTGGCAACTTAGAAGCCGACGGTGGGAAAGTGGGAGCGGCGCCTCCAGAAGAACGCAAAAAATAAGCCACATCACGATAACTCTGAACCAGCGGGACATTTCAAACAGACAGGCGGACACAGAGGGGATGACGAAAGCAGCTTACTTGTATGAGTAATTTGGTCCAAGTGTTTCAACATCTTGTGGCGCCATTGCGAAAATCCCGGAGTAACTGAGAGGATGTCCACCGTAGCAGTATTCTGCAGTAAGAAGACCGTAAAAATGAAAAGGTAAAATGAGCAGAATGGTGCTGCGGCGATAAAAATACGGAATCATTTCATCACCATCATTGTCAGCTGTAATAACCGCATACTTGTCGTACAGTGGTTGTAGCTGCCACCGTTTCGTTCACCGATGATTCGGGGAGAGGGGTAGGTAACTGCGCATCGGAGGCGGGAGATCATAAATTGGTGCACTGTAGGTGCACTGTTAAGTGAGGGGATTGGGAAGGGAGCTATGCATTGAAGGCAATAGCTTGGATGAACGAGCGCCATCGAGGGCACGACTGGGCCATGTCTGACAGTCTCTAGCCATTGATGTGGACCGTCTCCGGGTCCCCATCAAGGAAGACGGCAACGACCAGCGCAGCTGAGTTTGCTGGTACTTGTTTCTATACTTCGCTGCCAAGTTACTGTTTGACCGCCTCTGGCTCTCTTCCACCCTTCACGTGGTTGTGCGAAAATAGCCCTTCGAGGAAGTCGGTCGACTGGCATACGCAGCACGTGGCCAAGCCAGCGCAACCTATGCAGTGTGATCAGTTCATCTATTGAGGGTGAATTGTGTACGAGTTATGTATGAGTTACGTATGATAAAAATACGGGGGGAAAACACACGTATATCACAGACGTCCGCGCTCGAAACCTGCACCAATAAAGCAAACGCAGAGCTGTCAGCTAAGCAGATGTCATCCCAAAACAACCTCCCGTTCAAAGAGCTCATCTTCGGAATAGTGAACCGGTGGAGTAGTTTGCAGTTCAAACCAAACCCCACAATTTCCGGGCGATGTGACAAACCCACCTCGTAAACAATGTCGCACGCGCCCTACAGCAAGCCACCCGTAGAGTTGAGAATACGAACCAGGCACTGCTCTATTTTTCCATTCCACTGAGGTGTAATTTGGACATGACACCTAACTAAACCACCGTCTCAACAATTGGAAAGCCGAAACAGGGGACTTTGGTAAAAAAAAAACCGGGCTCGGTCGTTTGAGTGCTTCTTGTCTATTTAATCGAACTATCAACCTTAATCGTTCCGACATGTAATTGAAGATCGGCGAACCTCTGAAATGTTGAAGGAGTAGATGCTTCGGTCGAACAATGCATCCAGCCCAAACAGATGCGGTTACTCAATAGTACATGGCAAGAACAGCTTTGTGTTGGGTGTCCAATTCGAAATGGGTCGGAGAGACAGGTAAAATGAATGAAAAAGTGCAGTAAGCAAATAATGAAAACCGTATCGTCGTCGCCAGGGGGCTTGCACAATCCAGTCCACGCGAACCACTAGGACTGTAAATCGAGAGAAAGGATAATCACTGGTAGTTATGCTATTGAGTTTTACGCAGGAGTGCACGGATTTCAGTAATCTCTGGTAAGTTTAGAGGAGGCACCTTCTCGTTCTCTCCCCCCTTTCACAACGTGGTTTTTCTGATTGAAAGGGTGGCATTTCATTCGCTACTACTGTTTATTCGACAATGAGGAGTTATTCGTCAAAAGTAAAATTCGGTCATTCATTTCAACCTTCTCAGGTTTGCATTAAACTTTTCGCTGGACAAAAGCACACATCGGAAGTCCGTGAGCGGCGAAAACTGTAAAGCCCATCAGAAAAAATGGGAGATGTAATTGAATGGTCTATCTGTGAGACGCGTGTAAACAAATCGAAAAAGCCGGATGGTTAGAAACCCAAAACGGTGAGTCACGAAGTGGCCAGAAGCTGTTTTACAACTTAATGCAAGTAGGTGTGATCATATTTCGGTGTTGAAATACCAGAGTAAACAAGAGAACTTTCATTAGTAGTGCAAACGAAGCTCCAACGACATGGAATTATGCCGTAGCTCGGACAACTGCGGTCTATCAAGCGTAAAAGTGAAGGCGAAAAAGGGTATTCAAAGTTAAGTTCTGCCCTTCTTGTGAACTCGATTCAAAGAAAAAAATAAGCTAAAAGAGAAAGGGACTTAGTTCTAGCCTGTCGCAATTATTCCACGGTGTCTGTCTACATCTTCAGACACTCATTTAGGCAATCTGGATAGAAACTGGCAAGGAGAACATCATTAACATCGGCTGGCAGCGTCTCCAATCAGGCGTAATGGGCATCACGCGGTCCCCAAGCCGGGAGGCGGGTTGCACCGACAGCATCCAGGGTTTTCGCATCGCCTTTCATACCACTCTGCCAGATCAAACGTTGACCACTCAGGACTGGATACGGAAACAGCGCTCTCTTCGGCAAACGATAGTTCGGTATGGTCTAAACACCCCAGCTTCTGGTACTGGACAGATTCTTCGATAAAGGACCCCCTTGCACAACCGAATATTCGTTTTCCCACTTTCTCATGAAGAATTCACCCACACCAGCCCAGGTGAGCCATGGTTCTGAGACAACTGTCGTCGAAAATCCGAGGACGTCTCAGTTCCGCTGCTCGAACGGACCACGTCACACAGTCGTACAACAAAAAAGCCCGTAGCCTGAGAAACATGACATGTGAGATATGCTGTGGGATATGCCACTTTACCCCACAGCCAACCTGAGCCTTACAGATTTGTGAAGTGACCTTATCTGCCACTCTAATGTGAGAACTTACACACAACTTCCAAGATAAGTACGACGCTCTACAAACTCGGATGTCACTCCCTGGATTGTAAGTGGCGTGTTCGGTGACAGCATGTCCAATTTAACACAATTTAACACTTTGTGGATGCAAAGCGCATGACAAAGAACGGGATGACTTTGTTCAGTTCATCCAAAAACACCTACGCCCTCTTCTCCTCTTTGAAGAGAAGAATGATGTCGGCTGTGTACTCCAGGCAGATAAAGTTTTCTTCAGAAACCATTTGAAAATCAGCGTTTTGTAGACCTTGTGGCATTCGTCTCATTATCCAGTCGAACCATAGAATGTGAGCATTCTTGTTCTTTTTTGTTCAGTAGAAATACGAAAAGGGCTTGTCTTGTACGCCGTAGGACTAAGGTTGTGTGTGTGTACAGCTGATAAGCTTTGATGAGAATAACACTTGAGTGTAAAGTGAGGCGGGTATTCAAGTCAAGATAAATGAAAGGGGGGCTGTTTGGAGAGAAGTAACGCGGACACTCGTAAGTAATGAATAAACATTGGAAACGATGACAACCTTTGGTGAGACAAGACTTCAGCAGACCCGCTCAATAATGGCCGCACTTGGGAGTGTATAATTCCGTTTCATAAGCATTCTTGTGCACCAAAAAGTATTTTTTTTATTTTTATAAGCAGCTTGTGTGGGCTTCGGCACATTCGAACCGATCCCAGAGATTCAACGGACCCAAAAAACTGGATTTTGATTGGCGAAGAACATTTCTGGCCTTTGGGCGGGCCTCCTACACCAGGACGGTTGATCAGGTGGCTGTTGATCTGTTCGCCGAGCTTGGCAATTGGCTTGCAAACGTTTCGTCACCTCACGAGGAGACATCATCAGTGCGCAGTTGGGTGGGTACCTCCTGTTTGTTTGCGTGTGTTTATATAGCAGACAAATGAAAATGATAGTGGTGCAAACGACAAAAACCTCGAATCACGCTCTATAGAGCGGTGCGTTGAAGTCTATTAACCTTATCGTCATCATTTTCAGCTGTAATCACCGCGTACTTGTCGTACAGTGGTTGTAGCTGCCACCGTTTCGTTCGCCGATGATTTGGGGAGGTGGGGTAGGTAGCTGGGCATTGGAGCTGGTGGGAGCTGATAAATTAGTGCGTAAACACAGCGCTGTCAATGTACAGTTAAGTGGGGGTTGGGAAAGGAGAAATGCATTGAAGACAATAGCTTGGATGCACGAGTGCCATTGAGGGCGCGACTGGGCCAAGTCTGACAATGTCTCCAACCCTATACACCAGTTTTATCTTCGTTGAAAATAATTACCGGAGTATGCCTCACGAATCTCTAGGAGATTCAAACCCAAGCCCCTCCGGGTAGTCGTAACTGCATCCAGCGGCAAAAGTGTGCAGTAACCGATTCGCATGTCCACCAAGCAAAAGATCAATTCTGTCCACCAGCAAGGACTGGGATTCTTGAAACGGATGGCTACTTCCTCGTTTCAGTCTGCTAAGCCACTAGTTCACCTAAAAAGCATTTGAGGGCATGAGAACTCGTGGAAGTTGGAAACGGGGTTTGCCTATTACGACTCAGTCGAAAAGTAGAGCTGTTCCTCAGGCGTTCAGTGGTGCCGCGTGAAATAGCACCGATCTGTCAAATTTATCGGGTCCTCCGTTCAACTAAGTTCAATATTCTGGCTCAGTGCTTATCACAAGAACCAATCAGACAAAGTACGCGGTACCAGGCAGGCTCTCAAACGGTATGACCATGCGCTTTATGAGGCTGTGTACATGATTTCTTCTAGACTTAATCGTAGTCGATGTGGTGGGCTCTAACCCAAAGGTAAGAAGTTAGAGGTGACTTGAATTTCAGCCAAGGTTGCCTCATCGATATTCATATGAACATCGGCCTGGTTTGTATAAACATCCTCATGTCCCCCTAAAACAAAAATGATTGGTCAACATCAGAGTAAGGAAGTGGAGTCATCATTAGATCTCACGGACGCATTCGCGGTCATGTCAGGGTTTGAAAGCCATCATATGGCTGACATTCTGAGCAAGTCTATTCCCAATACTCCACCAGGGTACGCTGAGGGCACTAAAGTAACCAGCCTTTCATGGACAAACACGGTTCCCCCTGAGTGGTGTCTTTGGAGCAGTGGTAACATGCCCGGCCCAGGTAACCGCAGCTAAAAGTCTTACAACGAAGGATAAACACCCTTAACGAGCCGCGGTTACAGCGAAACACATCGGGATGAGTGAGGATTATTTCGGCGAGTTGTATGCCGCACACTATTTCAACAAAACCTGGTTGTGCTCAGAAACAAACAACTGGTTCAACCATGCTTCCTGTCAGTGAGAGTAGACATGACGATAAAGAACGATAAGGTATGCTGTCGATGATGATTATGATGATGACCATGAGACTACATCCTTCTCACATTACAACGTCGGATAACTTTCCAAGGATTGCTGTATTCACTTCTTGAGATGGCCCAACAGAAAGCTCGAAATGGTCCAGTAGAAATGTGATAACAAACGAGTAGTAAGTCAAGGTGTCCCGAATTTCATGCTAAAAGTTCAGGAACTCCACCGATCAGATTTCTGTCGAACCAGCTCAACAATCCTATCAGGGGATCCTTGAAAAATACCAAGATGGCTTGCGATGAACAACGTACAGATGACATAGGTGACTGGGTGGTAGGTATTACGAACCTTTGGCAAGACAGTGAGGAACAGAACACGGAAACGTTAATCACCCCCTGTGTACCAAGATCGGGTGGCAATTGGGCATAAAGCCATCTGGCGCACGTCAGCTCGACTACGTGTCTCAAAACTACTTAACTCATGATCATGATCATGATCACCATTTGCTAACTGTGCTGACCGTAAACTTCAATGCTTTTCGGTGGGCCATCCTCACTACAACGTGCGTCAAACCTCTGGGCCGCTTCGGACAATAGGTATAACAAGACCAAGGAGCAAACCAAGCGTACAAAGAAAAGGGAATCTTCTCTACGGTATGACCGCGCACTGATGATGCCTCTTCGACTGATGATGAAACGTTTGCGATCCAACTGCCAAGCTCGGAGAGCGGGCCAACAACCTAGCAGCTCACCACAATGCCGAGGTTCCTATGACTTTCTCATGGTTCAACAGCGACATCGAAGTAGGCAGTCTCAATGAACTGGAATTCTGGGGACTCTTCTACAGCTGAATTCAACACCGCCAAACTGTGTCAGAAATCAGAATCCGCCTGATGACTGCAACCCTGTGGAGTTGGGTCCCTATAACATCCCGGCCTTCACGCTTCCCTGGGATAGAATGGTAGCTAGGCACCAGCTGGACGACTTTTCGTTCTTACCTTAGTGACTTTCGAACAAAACAATATCATCTGGGTAGTCCAGATCAGTCGTGGGATTCGTTCTTAACAACAGCAGTCTCAAGAATGTCGTCAAACACAAAACCGAAGCTGGAAAACAGGGCTTCAGTAACGCGCTTCCCTCGAGATTGTGAGGAATGATCATGTTGCTCGTAGAAGTCACATCATAGTGTCCCGGGGATGTCAGAGCAGCCCGAAAATCCATGACTTTTAAAAAAAGCGCTCTCAAAGGGTTATGCGGTCCGTTGAATCGAAGGTAGTAACAAGAAATATGACTGTTCGTTCAGCTATAGCACCCTTTCGGCGCCTAGCTACCATGCCACTCGAAGGAAGCACGAGGGCTGGGATACTGCCAGGTCGCCCAAGCCTAGATAGGGGAAGTCGAGAGGCAGAGGTCGGGTTCAAACCACGGACCTTCCGGTCAGTAAATTCGCGCTCTAACCACCTGGACCATCTCGCCCTATTGTCGGTTGTCCGTGTGACGGGTTCTAGGATTCTTTAGCGTAAGAATTTGGCGAATACAGTAGCACCAAACGCAAAACCTGTTGGTTCTACTCAAAGATGTTGGTCGGATGCTCACACGCACGTCTGACTAACAGTTTACCCAATTACGACGACGGGAGATAGAAACTTGAAACGCGTCGAAGTCATAAGTCGTCAAAAATTTGATATTCGGAAAGAAATTTCGAACCTAAAAACTCCGAGACTCACCGATACCGTAGACAACCACTCCGGTGTGATAAACTCCGATCCCCAGGTTGTTTATATAAACATTCAGCCATAGCTGAAACAGAGGGAAGTGGGATAACTCATCACTCATCAGACAAACGTAAATCTTGAAGAGCTAACTTGAACGCGGGGGACGGGGGACGGGGGG